AACGCAATTGCCAAACATTTAGGGTGCCGTGCTGGGCGATTTCCCACCTAAAAAAGCTTGCAAGCCAAGAGTAGCCTCTAAAGTGGAATACCCTTAGGCCCAACACCCAACCATCTGCGCACGTACGATTCCTCGTGGCCTATACAGTACGATCATTGGCTGAGACCCATTCACCATTCCACAGCGGTTGTGGTTCTATTCCCCTAAATTTATCTAAGCATGTGAACACACTTCCTTGATACTTGTCAGAAAAGGCGTTGTACCTCGAGTAAGAAAACCTCTCGAGTTGACCGCCTGTCCACAAATTGACGAAAACTGTAGCATAGGAACGAACGTCCGCTGTTTCTAGCCATGTTTCTAGTACTTCGCAGTTACGTGATGCGCCCTGCTATCCAGGCAAAGCAGTCCTTTGATCCAGCCCGCCCAGCTACCGTGGTCAGAAAGCTTTCCATATCCCATAGCGTCACACGCCAACTTTCCTGCGACTTTGCTTCAAAGCTACACATCGGGATGGACCATCGTCGCAGGCTGTTGGCACATTGGTGCACATATTTTCGTTGTTGCAAGTAGGCTGTTGCAAGCCGCAGGCACGTTCTTCACCCAGGTGTTAAACCGAGATCCGTTTTAAGGTTCACATTGAGTGTGTAGGTCGCGTCAACCGTGACAAGCTACGTTTGCAGTATTTCTGTTGACTTGCTCACCTCACTAATATCGATGTCCTGTCCGCTGGGCTGACCCTGGAAATCATCGACCTGCATGCCCGGCTGTTCACTCAGGACGCCGTAAGGTGGTTGAAAAGGTGCCTTAGCAAATGTATGTTCGTTCTTGTCACGCTGATACCCCAAACGCTAAGTGAATTTCAAAGGCCATGAGCGTCCAACGCGAGCCGCTGAACTTTTGGGAGCACACTTGAGGCAGTAAATTACTAATTCATACTCAGCAGTAGCAATGTATGAAGACATAGTACTGTCGCTTCCCAGAGCTTGCACAATAATGTGCAATACGCAGGCTTACCTGAAGGACCAAAAGTCAAAGGTATCTTACACAGAAGAGGGCATTCTCAC